TCTGTCGGGTGCACCAGGTTGGGGAGTGCCCAATCAGATTAGGTTTGATGGTTAGGATATCAGGATAGACTGGTCTGGAGTGCAGCGATGTACTTTCTAGGACAGTTGAATAGCAAATCTTAATTGGTCTGTGGCGTTTTACTCTCTGATACTGGAATCAGTTGGAAGAGCCAGCTGAAAGGCTGTTTGTTTCCTCATCTTACCTGCCACTGTCCCAGCTGCCAGCACCAGTGTGGTTCCAGGAGCTAGAGGCTTTGTTAAGGCTTTGTCTTAAAATGACTGACTTCTCCTTTGAGCTGTCTTTTTCTGAAATTCTGAATGCAGTGACTTCAGTAAAATTACACAGTCAAGTTAGCGATGCTGATGAGACAAAACGACCAGTTTTGTCTCTAGACATTTAACTCTTAAAAGGGCTTTAATGCTTACACAGATAACCCTGTGGTGACCCTGAGTAAGCTTTAAATGGATATGTTGGTTTTGTTCTTTGAGTTTGTTGGTTTTTTTTAAGCTAATGACAAGTGTACCTTTGAGAATGCCGGTCTCTGCTATAGATTTTTGCTATTAGAAGATATTTTCCCTCTTGCTTCCACAAATCTTTCATGAACCAATCAACATAAATAAATATGTAAGATCTTAAATTATAAACTAAAACAGGCTGTTTCAATATTTTTGTTATAGTAATGAACTTAATTCAAATTGAATGAACACAATTCTGTATGGAAAAGTTTTGTTTCTTGCTTATGGTGCCTTCTATTAAAAGTCCATGCGGTTTATTCAGTGATATAGCAGCAGTTAAGTTCTGTTATAAGTTTCCAATCTGCTTGGATCACTATGTTTACATCATTTTTAGTTTTCCTTTTTTGTCTAGTGGCAGACTTCAAGGAAAGGATTGAAAAGTTAAATGAGTTTCTAGCTACTTCTCAGTACTTGGTGTACTTACTAGGACACCTAATACTGGTATTAGTAATTACTTAACTGGCTCACCATGGTGCAGTCATTGCTATTTTCTCACTTGTACAAAGCCCAACCCCTTGTATAACCAGTTACCTTGTTTAATCTAGGATTGGAATCAAACTGCCTTCATCTTCTACAATGATTGAGTTCGCATCAGTTGTGATACTGTTGTTTCCTTCACGTAGGAGAATTTTTAACACCTGCATGCTTCAAGTCTGTAGAATTTTCTGTGCTGTGCATGCAGAAATGTGCTTATTTCTAATAAGGTACTGAGCAGGCTGACTTTTCTTTTTTAAAGAGTACGCCCAACTGTTTGCAGCATTGATTGCGCGAACTGCAAAAGATATTGATGTTCTAATAGATTCCCTGCCTAGTGAGGAATCAACAGCAGCTTTGCAGGTAAGCGTGTTCTTAATTAAAATATCAAAACCCAACTGAAAGCGAACTTCTTCCCTTTTTTAAACACATTTTTTTTCTCTCTAGGCCATGTAACTGAAAAATTACTTTAATATAAGCCTGAATTTTTCCTGAGGGTAACCTGTGAGTACTTACAGGCTTAGTGGAAATACTGAACTTGCATCTAGTTCTAAGTAAGATTATACACAGTGAGAATATTTTAAATTTAGTTTTGTTGCAATGTTTAAGAAAATGCTTTTATCATAGTGCCACAGTGCTGGAATCTGTTACCCCCTTTTTTCCCCCAACTATTCAAATATTAATACAAAAATGCAACAATACTAATGCATTGTGGGGTTTTTGTTGGGGTTTTTTTTGTCCCTTGGGTAATTTCCATACTCTCTTGCTCATTAGGAGTGCTAATTAGGAGAGCTCATTTTGTAGCTGCGGAGCCAACACTTTACTGAAGCCTTTTGTCCTTCTGCAATGTTTCTGGTTGTTAAAGGGCTTGTGAGGTATCCTTTAAATTCTCCAGCTCTGTCACAAAACGGTTCTTTCACTTTTCAGTAATAGGAAGCACTTCTTTGGACCAGTCAGCCAAGCTGGATCATTTTGTTTCTTGCTCCTTCTCTCTTGAGACCAGAGGTGCTCTAGGGAGAACCTGGGAACAGACAGCGCCTACTGGCAGGTCCAGCCAGTATCACAACCTCCATTCCCTGCCTTACAGGAGCTGAACTGGTGCAAACAGTTTGCAAACCCTTTCACGATGCTCAACTGTTTCTCATTTCCAAAAAATGCTTTTGACCCACAATTCCAAGAACGCTGCACTGGTTTTTGTTTGCTGATCTTTCTGCAGATCTTGCCTACTAAACAACAGCATCTTTTTCTTTTTTTCATTTTTAGTTTTCTTTTCAGCATGCAACAAGGATGCTGTTTCTCTCAGAATCCTGGAACTGCTTTAAAATCACCTGAAGGTTTTACACCTGGGTTGATCCCCTGTGGCTATTCAAAAGCAGTTAACAAAAGACTGGTACTAGAGGTGCCTGCTGGGCCAAATACAAATAACTGGGCAGTGACATCACATTTGGTTTTAAACAAAGGCGGTTAAATTTGGAAACGTTGCTAGTCACAATAATTGCTGAACGTACTAATTGGGCCCATTAACACCAGCATAGTTTCATGTAGGTGTATCGTTAATAGCTGAAGAGAGCTTTCCTGCTGCAGCCGAAGTACAGGCTTCTTCAGTGACTGAGCAGGGCTTGATCCCGGTGCCAGCTGATGCAGGGGAAGCAGGGTGCTCCAGAAGGGGGAGCTGGTCATCCGCAGAGCCATGCTTTCCTTCGAGGTGCTACTCCAGCAGTTTCTTGCTCTGTTAATGCAGAGTCTCATTTCACAAGAATTTCTGGTCTTTTCTGTTTGGCGATGTTTTGAGATAAGTTAGCTTGGATTCCGTCATGCACTAATTTTAGTTTTTATTTTTATTTGCTGTTTTTTAATGTGGTGCAGTATTGAAGATAAATATTTCTGACATTCTTTAAAAAGACTGTTTTGAAGGTGCTTGAAATACTCTAAAATAAGCAATATAGGTTTTGTTGGGAAGTGATAGATAGGTACTTGGCTAATAGAGATGTACTTAGGCCGATCTTTTCTCTTTTTTTAATACTAAGGTTGTCTTGGTATGTGTTTCAAATCTGAGGCTTGTCTTAAATGATAAAAGGGACGGCTACACTGATGCCCAACACAATTTACCTGTACCTTTTGAGTTCTCTTGTGATGTAGTTGGTAGTACATATTTCACTTAAATTTGTGGCTTACCTGCAGTCAATTATTTAACAACTGAGACTGAAGTAATTGAGCTGGATTCTAAGTTTAAAACTTTCACCTTTTGCTGTCTTCTTTCTATGACACTTCCTCCAAGGGATATCAAGTCCTTAATGCATATAGTGACCTTCACGAAAGACATCGGTGTTGCAGAACAGAAGATGGATATGTGGATAGAATTTGCCAGTTAGTTAAAGCACGAGTTCTTAAGGTCCTTTATGTAAACCTCGATAACTGCTTTAAAAAATACAAATTTGAAACTTCGGTTTTGTCATTTCTGTTACTGAGTTAGAAGAAGTTTTAGTATTTTTAAATTTGGTAAATATTTTAAAGTATTAAAATGTTTTGAAGTTAAAATGTTTTATTTCACTAAATCTTGTCTAACTGAAAAGCAGTTTGGTTCTGAAACAAAATATTGAAGAAAAAAGGTTAAATAACACAGTTTCATCTGAAATATGCTATTTAATGGAAAGGTTTAAAGAAGTTACGATTGCATCTGTCTGAGCACCTTTCAGTAAGGGAGTTTGGAGGGGATAAATACTCACTTCTCATCAAGAAAAGCTACTGAGCCAAAAGTTATAATATGAAAGAAGTTAACATCTCTATTTGGTGGAGGTTTTTGTGCTTACTTCATGTGGATATGCACTGTTTTTGTCTGCAGCCTACAATGAGTTGCTTTGAAGTTGCTAGAATGTACTTCAGGAGCTAAGGAGAGAAATCCTTCTCTTTTGTAGGGAGCATGAACTGTTCCATCACCATCCTTTAGTAGAAAACTCAATTTTGTGTTACATTTGAAGATCCTTACTTTTCTTCTTTTTATTTTCAAGGCTGCTAGTCTGTATCGATTAGAAGAAGAAAATCATGAAGCAGCTGCCCGTCTGGAAGAGGTAGTTTATCGTGGGGATATGCTGCTGGAGAAGATACAGAGTGCCCTGGCAGACATTGCGCAGTCACAGCTGAAGACGCGAAGCGGCACACACAGCCAGCCCCTGCCCGACTCCTAGTGCCAGGGCAGTGTGCCTCTGCAGAACCCAGCTGTGGCGAGTCCTGTTGGATGCGCAGCTCTGCGTCCACAGGGAGCTGTCACACCCCATCACCCTTGAGAGACTCAGGAGAGCTCTGGTCGTTCGTAACGTCTTTTATCGGAGCTCACGCTGTAGGTTTTGTATGAGAAACACTTGTGCTGTGGAATCTGGTTCTGTTCTAGAATTCTGTGTATTAATGTATGTTTTCTTAAAATATTAATTTCTGAGCTTTATTTTCTGTTCATAAATATATCTGACTTCAATCTGATTTGTTTTCTTCATTACACAGGCCTTAGTCCCTAAAGGGAATTCAGAAGGAAAATATATTGAGAGTATTTGTGTTACTTGCTCACTCCTACCTTCAAACTTTTATGTTCTTGGTGTACTTTTTATAAGGCACAGACACACTTGAATTTGCCAGAGTTCCATGGAGACAGTGCTAGTCAATGATGTGAATACAGTGGTGGCCATCTGTTTTAATGAACAGAAATGGTAATTAAGCATTTGTATTACTACTTGGCTCATTTTACACCCTTTACAGAGCAAGTAAAGGGATAAACAGACTTTAACGTTTGCAGAGTGAATCTCCTTGCCATTGGCATCTCATAAAAAAATTAATCTGCAAGTATCTGATATTGGCATTTGTTATTGTTTGTAATTCACAAATGGGTTTTTAACTCCATTCTTGCCACTGACATGCTTACTCTTACTTGTTTGTGCCATTTCTCTGCTGCTGCTGATTTTCTGCACTCTTCTGGCAACTGGTGAATGCCTCTAAAGCCAACAGTAATGAGGAAGCATTGGATGACTGGGAAGAAATTAGCAAGGAGGAAACTGAAAATAACTTCTTATGTAATGTCACTTTTCAGTATAAGTGGTGGCTGCCACGTGAATGCTGTGATCATAAGCAGCAAGGGGCCTGTTGTCCCCAACGTGCTCTAGAGTTTTTTGGTTTTATCTTCACATACTGAATAAATTTTTGCCCCCATCTTAGGATTCTAGGAATACCAACACCTTTTTTTTTTATATTTGAAAGACAACGACCAGGTAATGTAGGGTTGAGTCCATGAGCTTAGAGTTGAACTGTTAGTAATTTTCTGTATTATTGAGTTAGCAGCCTTGCGTTATTATAGGATGCTGTTTATTGCCACGCAGTATCTGCTCATTTCCAGATCAAAACTACCTACTTCTATATATTGGACATGCCGTCCTTGACTGGAAAGTTACCTGTGCTGCTATTGCTTATAGACTGATAAGAGCAATTCAAGTATGCCTTTAGCATGCAGATCCTTAAGGGATAGATGCAGCCACTCGCTAGGCTGCACCTGTGAAAGGAAGAGTATAACACGGCACAGGATAAGTCTTGTATACAGCCTGTTTTGAGGATTAAACAATACAAGGCTGTTACTACCCATAACAAATAAAACTGAAGTATTTAATCAGACTGGTATTTCATTAAGTATTTGTTACAAATTTGTTAAATTAGCGTATCTGTAGTCATAAATTTAGTGGGCTGTTGTGACACTCTTGTACTATCCAGATTCCACAGAAGGAAAAACAGTTGGGGAAGTGAACAAGGTACAGCAATAGCCCCAGTTCTGTAACAGGATCTTCATTAAAAGTAACTGGGCTGTCGTGATTTATAAAGCCATGTGAATATACCTATGTCCTGGGGAGGCTTGAGGGGCCAGATTTTCATCTGAAGTCAGTCATGGAGCCTGGTTTTGCTTTTTTCCTAGAAAAACTGTGTACAGTATGTCTCAAGTTTGTTGGGAGGTGGGGTGGATTTTTTTGTTGTTGTTTGATTGCTCTTTAAACTAGTGGACTTAGAGTGAAATGTTTGAGCTTTACTTGTGGATTTTTTTTAAATTGAGATGTCTTAATGTGAGTTTGTACATTGCTGGAAAAAGGGTTAGATCTTCATAGTAGAAGAAGCTTGCTCCCTGGTACAGCTTAACTTGTGCATCACCTCTAACATGTTAACTTGGAAACTTTTGCTGTGGGAGATGATCTGCATCTTCAGTAATAGTTTTAGTTTTATATCTTTCTAGGGTTTTGTACTTGAAAACAGCTGTGTTTATGCAGCCTGATACTGCCTAACTGTAGGCAATAACTAGCTAACTAAAGCTTTTTCTTTTAGTTGCTGTTGATTTGAATATGCTAGCTTACTTTATGTTGAAGCATGTATCAGTATCAGTTACTCACACTTAGACATAAACCTTAACCAGAGGTATAAGGTCCCTAGTAAGTATGTGTGAGTTTTTAGTACTTCACCTGTGTCTGGTTCAGTGAATGTTGTCAATTTAATAGTGATGCAGTTAAAAACAAGGAACACTATAAAGCAAGAGAGCCAAAATTGCTCTTTTTTGCTTGAGAAATAATGTTTAAATGAGTGATTGGTAGCACAGGATGGATGACCCCCTGGTTCTTGTATGCTGTGTTGCTGGACTGGCTGTTGTAAATCTTTACCTACTCTTTTACAGTCCGCAGCTTGTTAGGTAAGATTTTGTATCTTTTGTTGTGTTCTGACAAGCAAAGAAAGGGGGGAAACACTGATTTGCTACAGCTGTCGAATGGACAAAGCATTAGATTGGGGTCTGGTCTTGACTGCCTCCAGACTTTTAGTACTGAAGAGAGTGTGAGGGAGAAAAAAACCTCTACGTAACAGCTGCTAACAAACATACCAGGTTATGTGTGAGAGAGCTGTGAAAGGAAACTTTAGTTGAGACGAGAGAATAAATGGGGGTGAAGCATCACAGGAAGAAAACAAAAGCATCGAGCAAGATATAAAATGGTTCTGCATATTACATTGGACAAGGAGTACTGCTCAGTGAACAAATTGTGCTTTGAAGAAAGATAGCACAGAGCATAATGGAAAATTCCATTGAAAAACAATCTCAACCACTTCAAATGAGCAGGAGCAGTTCATGCTGAGAATCCATACAGCCTACTGGCAAAGATGCTGGAATCAATTTAGTAGATACAAGCGGCTGATCAAAGCCTGGTATTCTTTACTATAAGCAGCCATGCTTGGAGGGAAGGAGCACCTCGCAGCAGCTGTTCTCCTTTGCCGATACAAGAATACTGAGGAATTTGTACACTTGTTTAAATTTTAAAGATATTGGGAAAAGTGCATTAACAATATTTTTGTTTAATGTCTATGAAGTTAATGCTGGCTTACTATTGCAGATGATCTCTGGAGATCTGGGTGCTTCTGCTCTGTGTGGCATGGGAAGGGTGTCCTGGCCATCCTTGTGGGGTTGATGTCCACAGATTTGGGGAGTTTGCAGTAACACAGGCCAGAGACTGCCTGGCTGGGGAGCAGCTCTACTCAAAAAGACCCAGGGGTCTTGGCAGGCAGCAAGCTGAACATGAGCCAGCAGCCGGGCCTGGCAATAGGAAAGGCCAACAGCATCCTGGGCTGTATTAGCGGGAGCACAGCCAGGAGATCGAGGAAAGCGATTACTTCCCTCTGCTCAGCACTTGTTAGGCTGCATCTGGAACACTCTGTACAGGTTTGGGCCCCCAGCATCAGAAAGATGTTGATAAACCACAAGTTCAGCAGAAGGCCACCGCAATGACATGGGCTGGAGCACCTACCCTGTGAGGAGAAGCTGAGGGAGCCAGGCTGGGAGAAGAGATGGCTTTGGGGGAACCTAACAACCTGCCTAAACCTAGGAGGAGGTTATGGAGAAGAGAAAGCCAGGCTCTTCACCATGGTGTGTGGCAGAAGAATGACAAGCAGGGGATGTAAATTGAAGCAGCAGGGGCTCAGACTGGTCACAAGGGAAAGCTTTTTTCACGATTAGGACAGATAAATTTTGGAATGTGGTCCCCAGAGAAGCTGAATATCCTGGCAGGTGTTTCAACACCTAACTGATAAAGCTCTGAGCACCCTCATCTGACCTCACAACTGACCCACCTTTGAGCAGGAGGCTGGACTAGACACTTTCTGAGGTCCTTTCCAATGTGAATGATACCAGACACACTAACAGTTTCAGGAAGGACCAAGAAAGTATCAAGGAATATTCTTGTCCCCTTTCTAGAAAGGTGGATCTGGAGGACAGAAAACTTGAGGTATCTGGTATCAGCCTCATGCTTATTGATGAGATTTTGTGGCATAGGTCTCCGCACTGGGAGGCCACTGAGTTGACCTTGTGCGTGGTGTGAAATTCCACGCTGTAGTGACCCAAGTTTCCAACAGGTGCCCTTGGAGAGCGCGATATGCAAAATCCACATCCTACACTTAGGGAAAATTGATCTGTCAGGTGATGCTGACTCACTGTTAGACAAAGGCAGACTCCTCTAAAGAAAGAAATTGTATTTGTGTTTTATATAGCTTGTTATGTAGTTTTACGTAAGAAAAATGAGAGCCCTATTTTCAGGCACCAAACCTGAGACTAGAGCAAAATTTTTATTCTAGCTTTTCCTTTCAAACCTATGGAAGAACGTTTGAATTACTTTTATTGACTTAAGACCAAGTTGTTGATTGACAGGCAGGACCTTTTTACCTCTAACCCATAGGACTATGTTCTAGCAACAAAGGGCACAGAAAACAAACTTTGCGAATGGGATGTTTTTTCATGCTTCAGATATGTCAGCTACTGTGTTTTATGTGCTTGCAATGAGCAGCATCCACCGTGGAAATGATCTCCAGGAAGTTTTTGTCTGTTCTAATCTAGTTGGTGTAACAAGCTTTGAGGGAGTGTAGCTTCACAATTACTCCACGCTGTCTGTGTACACTTATATGCAGGCTTCATGTTTATTTTTGTTTCTTGGAAAGCTTTGTAAGAAACCTTGCTTGTTCATGGTAGCTAAGCAAGCAGACCAGGAGTTCTACATTCTTGCTGCTGCTGTACTCTACTGGCGTAGTCAAGTAGCCAAGCATGTTCAGCTCCTGCTCTGAGCACGAAAGGGCTGTCTACAGCTCTTTAGACTGTCACCACGTTTCTTCTGAATTTCTGTTTATAGCTACCATG